GCAGGTATGAAGTGGAACCTCAGAATTTTTAAATTTTCATTTCTTTTATTATTAGTAATTTGGAATAGTTTTTCTTATGATAGTGGATTGACCAGATTGGATTTCTTTCTTATCTTCTCTGGAGAACTATCTATTCATATCCTTTTACCATTTATCTATCAAGAAATGAAGTTTGTTCTTATATGTTTTGATCAGTTCTCTATGTACTTTACACATCAGTCCTTTATCAGAGAAGGGTCCTGAAAATTAACTTTTTCTTTTCTAAGTTTAACTGTACTGATTTTATTGGTGCAAAAATTTTTCAATTTTGTGTAAACAAATTTGCTCAGTTCATCCCTTGAGATCCCCTGTACCTCCATTATATTAAAGCTCTATTTTTCTGTTTTCTTTTTTTTAAATTTTATTAATTTATTTTGATTTATCAACAATCACTTCCGTATGCTTTTGAGTTGAAAATTTTTCTTCCCCTTCCTCCTCACCACCCTCCCCAAGATGGCACACAATCTGATATAGGCTTTACATTTATATTCCTATTAAACATATTTTCACATTGTTGAAGTTGTAAGTAAAAATTAAAATCGATAGGAGGAACCATCAGAAAGATGAAACAAAACTCAACAGAAGGTAAAAATAAGTGATAGTGATTCAACTTCCATAGTTCTTTCTTTGGATGTGGACAGCATTTTCCATCCCAAGGCCTCTGGAGATGTCTTAGATCCTTGTAATGCTGAGAAGGGTTCAGTATAACAATGTTAGTCATTGCATAATGTGGCTGTTATTGTGTACAAAGTCCTCTTGGTTCTGCTCACTTCACTCAGCATCAGACCATACAAGTCTTTCCAGGTTTTTCTGAAGTCAGCCTGTTCATCATTTCTTATAGCACAATAGTATTCCATTACATTCACATACCACAACTTGCTCAGCCATTCCCCAATTGATGGGCATCCTCTCAATTTCCAATTCTTAGCCACCACAAAAAGAGCTGCTATGAATATTTTTGTACATGTGGGTCCTTTTCCCATTTGTTTGATCTCTTTGGGATATAGCCCTAGAAGTGCTATTGCTGGATCAATGGGTATGCACATTTTTGTAGCCCTTTGGGCATAGTTCCAAATTGTTCTCCAAAATGGTTGGATCATTTCACAACTCCACCAACAATGTATTAGTGTTCCAATTTCCCCATATCTTCTCCAACATTTATCATTTTCCTCTTTTGTCATGTTGGCCAACCTGATAGGTGTGATGTGGTACCTCAGAGTTGTTTTGATTTGCATTTCTCTAATCAATAACAATTTAGAGCATTTTTTCATATGACTATAGATGGCTTTAATTTCTTCATCTGAGAACTTTCTATTCATATCCTTTGACCATTTATCAATTGGGGAATGGCTTGTGTTTTTATAAATTTGTCTTAATTCTCTATAGATTTTAGAAATGAGGCCTTTATCAGAGAGACTGGTTGTAAAAATTATTTCCCAATTTTCTACCTTCCTTCTAATCTTAGTTGCATTGGCTTTGTTTGTGCAAAAACTTTTCAATTTAATGTAATCAAAATTATCCATTTTGTACAGCTCTATTTTTCCCCTTAATGGGACCATTCTCAGGCTTTCAAAGTAAATTATTCTTGAATGTAAGCCTTTTTGCTTTTAGGAATATCATATTCCAAGATTTTCTCTTCTTTTCAGTAGATATCCATAATCTTGTGTGATCCTGACTGTTGTTCCTTGTTACTTTTTTTTTCTATTTGGCTGCTTGAAACATTTTTTCTTCGAAAATGTATAGCTATGGGTTTTGGCTATTATAGTCCTATCTGTTTTTAATTTAGGGATTCCTTTCAGGAGGTCACATGGATTCTTTCTCTTTTTTTTTTCACTTGACTGCTAGTCAAGTGAAATAGATCTGCACAGTTTCCTTTTAAAGTTTCTTAAAATATGGAATCCATATTTTTTGTTTGGTTGTGCTTTGCAGGGAATTCAATGGTTCTTAAAACAATCTCTTCTCAGCCTGTTTTACATATCACTTGAGATCTCTCCTCCCCTTCTCTTCTAAAAAGAAATTCCTTTCCTTGAGAAAGTAATCTACACTAGATCCATCCACTTCTGCTGCTCTCAAGTAATACAGGAGCCAGCCCATATTAACTCTCAAAAGCCTATTGTTAAACTTTAAATGTAAGCACTTACTCCTCAAAAAGGGACAAACACTAGAAATCAGAGCCTAGTCTATTGTTTTCTTCATTATCTAGGCTTAGGAAAGTGATAGAGAAAATGTTAATAAGGCATATTAATCTTAAAAATGTGTTCAACGTACATATTTTTGAGAGACAGTTGTTAAAACTTTACCAGCACATTTCTACTTCTTAATCACTTCTAAACCTTCTAAAATATGGCTTATGACCTCACCATTCACCTGAAATTGTCCTCTCCAAAGTTACCAACAATCTCTTATTGTAAATCTAATGACCTATTCTTAATCCTGATCTTTCTTAGGCTCTCTGTAATACAAACAAGCTTGAGCCCTTCTCAACACCCTCTTCTTTCTAGGTTTTTGCAACACTACTCTTCTGGTTCTCCTTCCTATCTGGCCAAACCCTCCTTGTCGTCTTCTATCCTGTATCTCCTGAGCCTTCTCAGTGCTGTATTCTGGACTCTTTTCTCTTCTCCTTTTACACTATATTTCTTGATGATTGCATAAATTCTCATGGGTTCAATTTCCAGATCTTTATAAATGGTCCCAGTTGCTCTCCTAAGATCTAACACCGCAACTACCTTTTGAACACCTCAAACTCTATGTTCCATAGGCTACAAACTCTACATTTCCAAAAGAAAACTCATTACCTTTCACCCCAAACTCTGCTCTCTTCCTAACTTCCCCTAATTGTAGAAGACACCACCATCCTCCTAGTCACCCATGAGAAAAACCTCCATGTCTTTCTCAACTTCTCATTTGAATTCATCCCATGTATCCAATTGTTGTCAAATCTTGTCATTTCTACTTTCATAAAATGTCTTATATATGTTCCTTTCTCTCTAAGTATGTGGCCACTACTCTAGTTTAGGCCCAGTTTGGTCTCCTTGCTTCAAATCTTTCTCCAGTCCAAGCCATTCATCACTCAGATACCACAATGATTTTCCTAAAGCACAAATATGGTCATGTAATCCCTTACTTCATAAGTTCCGGTGGCTCCTTGTTACTTCCAGGATCAAATATAAAATCCTCTATGCCTATGGAATAGCTGACCGGGATCCTCAACTTCTGGATATCACAAAACATTTTAAACTTTACATGCCTTAAATAGAACTCATTATCTTTTCTCCAAAACCTTTCCCTCTTCGCTATTTACCTATTATAGTAGAGGGCATCATCATCCTCTCAGTCACCCAAGTAGCAACTTAGGTTATCCACAACTCCTTGCTCTTACCCCACCTGTACAATCTGTTGTCAAGTCTTGTTTCTATCTTTACAATTATTTAGATAGATAGATAGATAGATAGATAGATAGATAGAATAGATAGATATACACATGCATATATATATATATGTGGACATGTATACATATGTGTATGGTTATAGACATAGACATGGATATCTCCTCATATAACCACCACCCTGGTTTAAACCCTCATCACCTCTCACTTGGAAGATAATAACCTTCTAGTTGATCTCCTTACATCATCTTTCCCCACTATCCATCCTCCACTCAGAGGCCAAAGTGTTCTCTTTTCTAAAAAGCAGATCTGACCAAGTTAGCCCCCTACTTAATAAACTCAACTGGCTCCCTATTGCCTCCAGAATCAAAAATAAAATTCTCCAGCTGGCATTTAAATCCTTTTGTAACATGGCTCCAGTCTTCTTATATATTGCTCTGTGCTCTCTACAATCCAACCACACTGTCCTACCTGCTCTTCCTCCCTCACCTTATTCCATGCCTTTGCACTAGCTTTCCTCCATGCCTGGAATACTCTTCCTTTCTCAGCTCTACCTCTTAGTTCCTCTGGCCTCCTTCAGGACTTACCTTAAATTCTACCTCTTACAGAAAGACATGATATTCCCCTTCTTCTCAACTATCAGTACCTTCCTTCTGAGATTACCTTCCATTTGCTCAGCAAATTTCTTGTATGCACCTTTTTATTTATACATTGTCTTCCTTATTAGAATGTTCACTTCTTCAGAGTATAAAGTATTTTTGTCATTCTTTACATCCCTAGCACTTAGTACAGTGCCTGGAATATAGTAAGTATTTAATAAATGCTTGTAGACTGATTGGCATTTTTCTTAGTCAGTTGTTTTTGATAGTACATGCCTTCTATTTTCTTTTTTTAAAATATTTTTATTCTTTCCAGTATTTCTTGTTTCTTACAGCCACCGAGTTCCATTTGCTTCATTCTAATTTTCAGGGAGTCTGCTATTTGAGTAAGTTATTCTACCTCCTCTTCCAAACACATTCTCCTTCCAATTCTTTCCTCCAGCATTCTTTCCATTACAACTTCATGTTTTATCTCTTGTTCCATTTCTTGGAGCTTTATTATTGGAGTCCCTACAGCCAAGCTTCCCCCCCCCCACCTCCATGGTTCTTCTTTTATTTGCTATGGAGTTATTCTCTTCTTCAGGGTTTATTGTTTGAGAGTCTCTTGACACAACCCATAGTAATTTTTTTTTATTAGGCAATGGGTTGTAACTTGCCCAGGGTCTCACAGCTAGTAAGTATTATGTGTCTGAGGCTGGATTTGAACTCAGGTCCTCCTGAATCCAGGGTTGGTGCTCTGTCCACTGTGTCATCTAGCTGCCCCCCAACCCATAGTATTTCTTCATGAGTTTAATATCTCCTGTTTACTCACTTCCAACTTCAGTTTCTAGTTCAGTACCTTGTGCCAGGATTGGACATTGTTCCAGATTTTATGCCCATAGTTTGGGTAGTTAAGGCCTATTTGGTCTGGAAGCCAGTTTTCTAAGCTCCTGGGTGTGGCTTCTACTTCCCCTGTTGTATTCAGTTGTGCTGACAGGTTTCAGGTCCTTTTGAGTCACCCCAGATCAGAGTACTTTGGATTTCAAGTGTCACTGGATTGACCCTTTCCCCCAAAATGGTACTGAAGGAAGAGGTTGTCCCTTTCAAGACAGAAGCCAAGTCCAAGGCCTTGAAGGCCAAGAAGACAGTCTTGAGGGATGTTCATAACCACAAAAAGAAGAAGATCCAAACATCCCTCACCTTCTGGCAACCCAAGACACTAAGATTTCAAAGACAGCCCAAATGCTTTCAGAAAAGTGTCTATAGGTGAAACAAACTGGATCATAATGCTATCATTGTTACCCTCCACCACTGAGTCTGCTATGAAGCAGATTGAAGACAACATCCTCATTTTCATTGTGAATATCAAGGCCAACAAGCATCAGACCACACAGGCAGTAAAGAACCTATATGACACCAGTGTGTCCAAGGTCAACACACTAATCCAACCTGATGGAGAAAAGAAGGCCTATGTCCAATCTGCTCCAGACCATGATGCTTTGGATGTTGCCAACAAAATTGGAAGCATCTAAATTATGCCCAGTTATCCCACTCCACATACAATAAAAAGTTTTCCAGTAAAAAAAACTGTCCTTGGACCATCTTTGGTCAGAGAGCCCTGTGTGATTTTTTTTTAACAGAACAGTGGCAGGTTTTCACCCTGTGTATCTGAACTTGAAACTCTTCCTAAAGTCTACAGGCTTCTGCTTGCCTTTTTGTATAGTCTTGAGCGAGATGAAAAATCTTACTGGTGATTCTCTTTGAATTCCTTGATAACTATTTGATGTATTTTTTTTTAATCTTTGCTGGAGCATATGGTGAAGAGCTAGGCTGCTTTTGCTATTTCATGTTGCCATCCATGTTAACCAGAAATTTCATCAACTGTCTTCCTGAAATTTGAAGATAAAAATATATTAAAGAGAAAATACAAGCTTTAATTATGTTTCTATCAATCACTAAACATTTATTAAGTGACTGCTATGTGCTAGGCACTATGTCAAACTGTTTGGTATATTAAGAAAGCAGAAAAAGATATAGCATTTTAAGTTTTCATCAAAATCATTCAAATAAAAGATGATTTATAAAAGTGTAAATTTTAAGTTATCTGGAAAACTGGCTTATGTGGAACAAATAACTCCCAGATAATGTTGGATAAATAATGTGCTATTGTGCTTTTATATAACAACTCTTACTTCCGCTCTTCCTCTTTATCATCTGCGCAGGCAAATTCCAAATTGAAATTTGGACCTTTCCACTTCTTTTATGGATTATTTCAAGCTACTTATCACAGTTTCTCAACTTTAAGAACTGTTTGCTTATTCTTAGGCCAATTATCTTCTGTGCTTGAATCCTATCACTCCTCTCACATATCCCTATTATCTCCCACATATAAAAGTTGGAAAGAACTTCAGAGGCCATCTGCATACTCTATGTTGAGGTCACTATATGCCGTCCTTAATTTTATTTGTACAGTGCACACACACACACACACACACACACACTCCTTTCCCCAGCTCCATTCTTAACTGTCTTTTACCTGCAATTTGTTCTTCTATTGTATTACTCATCTACCATTTTATTTGCTCCTTTCTCTAAGTAAAGACTTTGTGTTCAGTCAATCAGTCTTTTCTCCAACTCCACCCTTGCTGTTGTTCAGCCATTCAGGTGTATTGGACTCTTTGTGACCCATGGACTTCTTCATGGGGTTTTCTTGAAAAACATACTAGAATGGTTTGCCATGTCTTTCTCCCCATTTCACTAATGAGGAACTGAGATGACTAGGAGTTAAGTGATTGCCCAGGATTACACAATTAGTAAGTGTCTGGGGCCAGATTTGAACTGAGATCTCCCTGACTCCAGGCCCAGTGCTCTATCCACTATGCCACCTACTGCCTTTCACCTACAACTCATTCACAAATTGCAGAACTCACCTACCACTTTATTTCCTCACTTAATATGCACAAATGATATTTTTATATTATAGTTATTTGTGTATGTTTCATAGCATTCTTCTAGCTGCAGTCATCCTGACTTATGTCTTGCCACTGGACCCCAGTGACTCTGGAGGACAGAGTGAGGCTGATGACTTTGCATAGCCCCGGCTCACTTAAATCCAATTCACTTGCAAGTCAAGACATCACCTTCCTGATGTCATTGGTCCTCTTTGAGAACAAAGGATGACAACAAGAAGTTTCATGAAGACAGAAGTCTATTACATATCCAAACATCAGATCACCCTCAGAGTCAAGTACAGTGATCTCCAAGTAGTAGGTATGTAACAAATGTTTATTCAGTTGAATCAAAGTGAATGAAATTCACATATTTTACTTTTTTGTTGCCATCAGGACTGTCTAGTAGAGTGTACTGAAGCTTGGCTACTGGTAATTCATCTCCTAGACAAGATGTGCCATAAAATCCCCTTACCCAGAAGAACAGATGAATTAGTCAACTGGCCCACTGAAGATGACCACTTAGCAACTCCCAATTAAAAACCTTCCTTTCTAAGGGGGAAAAAGCCATAGGGTTGGACTAAGGGTAAATACAATTGCAATGTATGGTGCTCATTAACTTGCATTATAATAAGCAGGTTGTCAGCAAAATTGTCTAGTGTCACACACAGACACTCTTGTAGAAGTTGCTTATTCGTATGACACATACCTCTGATTATAAATTTGTCAGTGTTGATACATCTGTTTATCTGCATTTGCTTTCCCAAATCCATCCATGTCAGCCACTTAACTCCAAGTCCAGGATCTGGCACGAAAGGGAACTTGAAAGCAATATTCTGTGATGCAGAATGATATGTGTATGGATTTATGCATGTAGCCCTTTTTAGAATCACATTGACTGTTCACACTCAAGTACGTGTTCTGGCCACTTTATTGGTTTTCGGTGTTTTTTCTGTCAATAAATTCACTCAACATACCAGAGAGATGACTTAATATTCTAGTTTCAATTTATTATCCCATGGGAGGATCATCAAGTATTTTTTGAGCTTAAAATTTACTTACTCTCTACTCTCACCATGAAATTGTCCTTCATTTCTCTCAAGCTGGTGCAGTGAGTAGAGCGCTGGGTCTGAAGTCAGGAAGATCTGAGTTTAAATCTGGCTTCTGAACAGTAGAGGGGATATCTAAATAACCCTATTAGCCCTAGATGGCACTTACTTCCGTGGCCCAAACTAATAGGAACATATGCTACAATTGCAAATGTTGCAATGAGCCTAACTGCAAAGGACAGAAAATTAAAGAAAAAAAATATTTAAATAGATATGCTACTTGTATTGTTTTAGTTTACACAATGAGATGTTGCTCTAAACTCTAATCACTCACACTACACTGGGGAAACAGCTTCAATTGCAGGCACTTTTTTTGCACAAAGAAGCATTAAAATAGGCAACACAAAGACATCAGCTTTAGTCTCAGCACAGGATACAAGGGGCTCATTTCAGGAGATAACTCTGCCATGCTGATATTTCACCAGAGCCCTTCCATAACACTGAAGTTTAAAAAAGGAAGGAAAGAAGGGAGGGAAAGAGGAAGGAAAGAAAGGAGGAAGGGGAAAAGGAAGGGAGAGAGGAATGAAAGAAGGGAGGGAGAGGGAAGGAAGGAAGGGAGGGAGGAAGGAAGGAAGGGAGGAAGGAAGGAAGGAAGGAAGAAAAAGGTGGGGAGGGAGGGAGGATGGAAGGAACGAAGCAAGGAGGGAAAAAAGAAAGATAGGAAAGTTGAACCTGGAAACATAATAAATCAAGTAGGAATGATTCCTCCCTATCACATTAAAATACTAGAAAAAATAACAAAAACCAAAACAAATCAAAATGGAGACAAACAAACAAAAAAAACCCACCCTGCTAAAGTGGAAGCTTGAGAGCTTAGTAGAAGTGTTCCACTTAGCTGCCAGTGTTTCCAGCAGCTGCCAGGGCTATTGTCTCAAATGTTTAAATCCCCAGGCTGAGTAACCCTAAAGTCCATTATCCCTTTTAACAAAGCATTCATATCCTTCCTTGAGCCAGGCACTTACACGGGAGATATAGTACAGAAAAGTGAAACCTCTCTTACACTGTACCTTGGGGAACAACGGCACTATCAGAGGTTTCAGCTCCCACTCTGGTATTCCACCTCAGGATCACAAAGGTTCTGCACAATCATCGCTTTGTGAAAGCCAAGGTCTCTTAAGCAAACAAATGTGGAACTGGCAGCTTTCAACTGCTGCCTAGCATTGTCATATTTCAATAAAAGGCAGAGGAGATTAACCACTCCAGCAGCATGGTGCCCTGTCTCTTCAGCTGTCCCTTGTATGTGTGATTGAGATGTTACACACTCCCAGAGTGGTGATTCTTGTAAATAGTGTGAGTAAATCATATTTCTCTTGCTTTGATTTCAGACAGTATTTAAAAAGAAATATTATCTAGTCAAAGAAGCTAGTCTTTCTTTGATAAATGTATCAAGTTTCCAGGGCAGCACAAGTAGCATTGGCAACAAAAGCTGCTTGATTTTATGCTTTCGACCTGACCAGCATACTCTGACGCTTCATGTTGGTGTGCAGGTGGCCCTGAGTTTTCCAACTTGATGCCAAAAAAGCACAAAGCACAAGTTCTTGCAGATCTAAGGTAGAAAAGGTATTGAAGATGATATTTGAAAATACCTGCCCTTTGAAAACTTGTCTAATTCAGGTGAGAGAGGCTCATCACCAAATGGGTAGCCACTGGGTGACCAGTGTTTGGGGCCAATGTAACTCATGAAGACATATTCTAAGGCATGGAAGGGTTGTGATCTGTATGGGTGGAGGGAGTACCCATAATGAGGGAATCTTTTGAAATATTCAGATCTTTTGAAATATTGACAAAGATTTTATAGTTATTTTTATTCTTCTGCCATTATTTCAGATTTTGGGGGATATGCCTTCATATTTGACAGTCAAGACTCAGAGAAACTTAATCAGTATACTATATAATCATAATGCCTGTTATATGCAAGGCACTGAGGGAAAGACAGAGAAAAAAGATGTCATTCCCTCCTCTGGACCTGACTTTCCTTGTCAATTGATGTTACTTTGATAGATCATCTTTTTCCTTCAGATCTTGGTTCTCTAAATTCTGCGGCCTCTTCTCCATCTCCTTCTTGATATCAATGTTTTGCCTTACCAGGAGATCTTTCCAATTCACTGGGCAGAAGCTTACAGCCTAGTAGTAAATGACTCACTGAAACATACCACAAGTGTTGGAAGAGGGGATACTGCTAACTGGACCTTTGCATATGTTTAGACTATACCTGTAAACCAGAAACTGCCTCTGAAGACACTTGTCATTTAATTCAACTCAACAAACATTTATTAAGCACCTATTATATGCAAGGCAATGTGCAAGTCCTTGCCTTCAAGAAATTAGGTTCTCCTTGGTGACACAATATATAAGGAGAGAGGCATATACAAAACAGGTTGATGGGAGAGGAAGAAAAGAGGGGGAAGGAGAGAGGGAAGGGGGGATAGAAACAGAGAGACAAAGTGTCAAAACAGAGGGATAGAAGAAGAGAAA